TGGAGTATAAGACACACCTTTTTCCCCTCAAAAAAGAGGCTGAAAATCTGGGTGCGTCTTATACACTGAATGCAGCATTTTTTGCCTCCCGAAATCCTGCCTCATTCACCAAAATGTCCGTGCAGAGCCTTTAGGAGGCTTATAGAGTACTCCTGGGGGCTGGGGGGGGGGAATTGAGCAAAAAACGGGCCACTTTTCACTCATTTCTGCCCTCCCCAGCTCCCAGGATCTCTCTGAAAGCCTCCTAAAGGCTCTGCACGGACATTTTGGTGAATGAGGCAGGATTTCGGGAGGCAAAAAATGCTGCATTCAGTGTATAAGACGCACCCAGATTTTCAGCCTCTTTTTTGAGGGGAAAAAGGTGTGTCTTATACTCCAAAAAATATGGTAGTTGAATTGTTTATATTAAAATACCATCTTATACAGCTAGTTCTCAACTTACAACTAGTCACTTAGCGACTGTTCAAAGTTTCAATGGCCCTATCTTTATCTATAATCCCTGTGGTACCATGACAGCATTTCAGGCACTCCATAACTGGGGCATATTTATGGGTGTTTGTAGTTTCCATTAACCATGTGATTTTGCCAAAAACTGTTATTTACATTCAGTTTTCAGCACAATCGCAGCTATAGTGAATCACCGGTTCGTTTAACAACCATGCTGTTTTACAACCACGACAGCCAGGCCATAACCTGAGTACTACCTGTGCAATCCAATCTTGGGCATCAAAATAGTAAATATATTAAAAGATACAAATTCAATTCTCATAAAATCGAAGGCATCTATATAGATATAGAGACAGAGAGAAAGAGAGAGAGATGGAAGGTGGGTAGGTAGGTAGATAGGTAGGTAGGTAGATGGATAGAGGGACAGGCAAACAAAGAGAAAGACGGATGATAGACAGACAATTGAGATGAGAGAGGGGGGAGAGGGAGAGAGAGAGGTGGCAAATAGAGTAGAAGCTTTCCAACTCTCAAAAGGGAGGCTGTTCCATAAGGCAGATACCACTACAGAGAAGGCATAAATCCTTGGTCCTCCCAGATGAAAACATTAAATGATAGAAGGGAGACACACAACTGTGTTTTTATACTGATAGACATTCCCAATTGAGCTCATCTATGTACCATATTTTTCAGAGTATAAGACGTACCGGAGTATAAGACGCACCAAGGTTTTGAAGAGGCAAATTTTTTNGGGAGGACTTATTATTTTTGAGGTGCAGGAGGCGGCGAGCGTGGTCACCTCATGGCTGCTGCTGTGTTGCAATATTTTCAGGGAGGGCTTATTTTCAAGGGAGGGCTTATTTTAGCACACGTGCTCAAAAGCCCAATTGGGCTTATTATACAGGGAGGTCTTATTTTCAGGGAAACAGGGTGGTGAGTGGCACGGACTTCGTCCCAATGCCTGTGTATCCAAGGGATCCCCCCCCCTCCTCAGTCAGCTTGACTGACTGGACCTAGAATCAATGCAACCTGGGAGAATGTCAAAAAAGTGCTAGCTAAAGCGGCACAAACCTATAAGGAACAGGCGAACAAACACCAAGTTCCACAATGACTATTCCCGTTGCGGGAGAAGGTCTACCTCTCCACAAAATACTTGAGGTTAAAACTCCCTAGCAAGAAAGCAAGCAGGCCAGGGATGCTTTGCGAGTCGACCTTATGAGCCACACCAAGCTTTCAGCTTTCCTACTCACGGTCGCTAGCAAACTTGCCTTTTGCAAGCTCCTCCATGACACTCGCGGATCCTGTACAGCAACGCTTTTGCAAACACAAATGAAGTTCTGTCACTGATGTCATAGACCACGACAAATCCATCTGCCCATTGGAGTTCATCTGCAAGTAACAATTTCCCTGGTCGAGGCTGGAAGGAAAAAAAAGGCAAGCAATTTATTCTGTGTTTTTGGTTGGAGAAGAGCCTGCTTGAGCTTAATTGAAACACAACTGATCTTGGTATCAACACATAGGACCCACATACATAGATTCTCTCCTGGAGGAACTGTCCCAGAGGTAGGTTGCAGCAGGCACTACTGCCAGTTTGCTCGTGGGCGTACAGCATGTGCATGTGCAGTGCAATAAAAATTGTTCTGTGCATGTGCAGAAGCAAAAAACAAGATGGCAGCACCTATGGTTCGGCAGCATGGCAGGCCTCGGTCGCTGCTGGTTCCAGCGACCCAGGCTGCAAACCACTACTGGTTCCGCAGAACCGGTCTGAACCGGTAGGAACCCACCCCTGAGCTGTCCCTAATCCAACACTTTGGGATTTCAAAGCGTTGGGTTATATAGACAGAATGAAATTAATTCCCGCTGTAATTATGCCGGAATATTTTTTTTTCCAGATGAGAAGGGTATTTTTTTGTTTTTT